CCCATCCAAAATGAGGTAATTATTCCAGAAATACAAACTCAACAACCTCAAGAGCCAATACCATTAAGAAGATCCACGAGAGGGAGGAAAAGTACTATTTCAGATGATTTCATAGTATTTCTCCGAGAACATGAGGAAAATAATGGAATGGTGGGAGATGATCCGATCAATTTCCATCAGGCCATGCAGGGTTCTAACTCTCAAAAGTGGATTGATGCCATGAATGAGGAGTATAAGTCTATGCAAGACAATAAAGTTTGGGATCTTGTCCCATTACCTGAAGGTGTGAAGCCCATTGGTTGTCAATGGATTTTTAAAACCAAGAGGGATTCAAATGGTAATATGAAAAGATATAAGGCTCGTCTTGTGGCTAAAAGCTTTACCCAAAAGGAAGGTATTGACTTCAAAGAGACTTTCTCTCCAGTTTCAACGAAAGACTCTTTAAGGACAATTATGGCACTTGTTGCGCACTTTGACCATGAGTTATATCAGATGGATGTCAAGACGGCGTTTCTCAATGGCGACATTGATGAGACAATCTATATGGTGCAACCAGAAAACCTTATGTCAAGAGACTCGAAGAACATGGTTTGCAAATTAAAGAAATCCATCTATGGGCTCAAGCAAGCTTCCCGTCAATGGTATCACAAATTTCATCAGGTCATTATCTCATTTGGTTTTGAGGTAAATGTCGTTGATGATTGTGTGTATCACAAGTTTAGTGGGAGTAAGCATATTTTCCTGGTTTTGTATGTTGATGACATACTGCTTGCCACTAACGATATAGGCATGTTGCACGAAACCAAGAGATTTTTATCAAAGAATTTTGAGATGAAAGATCTTGGTGACGCCTCTTTTGTATTATGGATTCAAATACATCGGGATCGTTCTCGAGATATTCTTGGATTGTCACAAAAGAGCTATATCGATAAAGTACTTAAGAGGTTTGGCATGCAAGACTGTAAACCAGGTGACACCCCTGTCGCTAAGGGAGACAAATTTAGTCTCAAACAGTGCCCACAAAATGACCTTGAAGCTAAGGAAATGCAGAAGATTCCCTAGGCATCAGCTATTGGGAGTCTAATGTATGCTCAAATATGTATACGCCCAGACATAGTATTTATTGTTGGAATACTATGCAGATATTTAAGCAACCCTGGGATGGATCATTGGAAGGTAGCTAAAAAGGTTATGAGGTATCTAAAGAGAACGAAGGATTATATGCTCACATATAGCAGATCGGATCAGTTAGAGATCATAGGGTACTCCGATTCTGATTTTGCTGGATGCCAAGATAGTAGAAGATCCACATCAGATTATATTTATCTGCTAGCTGGAGGAGCTATTTCCTGGAAGAGTACCAAGCAGACACTCATAGCTTCTTCTACCATGGCAGCAGAGTTTGTAGCATGCTATGAGGCATCTAATCATGGAATATGGCTGCGAAATTTTGTCACTGGGCTGCGCATTCTGAATGGCATAGAAAGACCACTGAAGTTGTATTGTGGCAACAACTCAGCAGTTCTATATTCTAACAACAACAGGAGCTCATCTAAGTCAAAACATATTGATATTAAATTCCTGATTTTGAAGGAAAGAGTACAGAGTGGACAGATTTCTATAGAGCACATTGGAACAAATTCCATGATTGCGGATCCGCTTACTAAGGGATTACCACCCAAGGTCTTTCATGAGCACACCGCTCATATGGGTATTGTACTTTTTGAGGATATCACGTTTTAGTGGGAGTTTGTATTCTTATTGCTTTATATATGTTTAGTTCTTTGAACACATTTATTTATTTGGATATTTTCTGTACAGAAATAAAGTATTCAGTTCATTCCACTCTGTTATTATGTTCAGTACTAATCTCACTTAAAAAATAAGGTTGGACCAGTTGGAAATAGACATGTTCGGATCACATAACATGTAATTTCCATGCTACACTCCCATAATTGATCTATGTCATTTGGTTGTATGGGCGTACGTGACCATCGATGGATTTAGTCACGCTAAATGTGACGAAAATCGCATTGATCCTACATCGATGTAACTAATGGACGAGATTGTTTGGAAATACCTTTAATAACTATAATACAATTTTGAGCTCATAAGTCTGTGCACATTTATAATGTAACATGTTTGGCCCAGTGGGAGATTGTTGGAAAAAATTCCAACTTTGGGGGCCACACATGTACATTTATTAGAATGTGTGGTGCTATTTTAAAGTAAATATAGTCGATAAAGTGATCAATTGGATTTAATTTTGGACTAATGGGTATTAAATTTTATGGGATTAAAGTGTAGAGACCAGAAGGTGTTATTTTGAATTGATGAGGGGCCGATTTGAAATAATTTAAAGTTAATAACTGCCAGTAGCAGTTATTTTAATAAATGGTTATGGTCCCCAATTTGAACGTGAGTTCTTTTAATGGTATCTCTGCATCTCCATCAACAGAGACTTTTCAAGAAAATCAAAAATCACGTATCAATTGGAAGATCAAAACCCAATTAAAGCAGACAGATTCATGGATCAAGGTATGTTTCCGCACTTATCATTGTGTCTTTGATTTCAACATGGAATTTATGATTTTATGAAAGGATTTTATGCATATGGTTCCTTTCAATTTTAACAACATCCCTTCCATGGAGGTTATCTTCCTCCTACAATGGAGTGTCTTTTATATGGAACTCATTCCGATTCCTTCGTATTTCTTTCCTCCTTTTATGGAGTTCAATTCAATATTATTTCTTGCTTCAATGATAAAGCCTTTCATATTGTTTTCATTCAAGAATTTAACATTTCTTTTAATATCTTCGATTGTAAATATCGAAATCACTGACTTCTTCATTCACTTTTCATGATAATGTTTTCAACTTTAAATATCTAAAATCACTTCGACTTTGGAAAAAGAGAAACCCTTTTCTTGCTTTATTTATTCGCTTTACATAATGATGTTATCAATTTTTATCCGAAATGAAACAGGAAACCCTATTTCTAAGTTCTGAGTGAAGCCATGGATAAAAGTGATGCTGGAGGAAGGGACCGCGGTAGAGATCCGAGGCGAACTTTGAATATAGGAGTTCCTAATAATTAATCAATGGTACAGCGTGAGCGGAATAATCCCAATAAATAGGACATCCAGGAACCGTGGGAAATGCAGATAATGGAGACGGGACTGGTACAAAACCCGTGGGTGGTGGGGAAGGCGTAGCCGCTGGAAGACGCCCCCCTGTAAAACGGAATCGTCGTGGTGGGGGTAGCAATACTGCCACTGGTGGTGGACCTAGTGGTGGGAGCCAACATATTGGTGGATCTGGTGATGATCAGAGATTGCCTAGTGATGGATGTAGAAATACTCAAAATAATCAACAGCGCCCGAGAGTGGCAGGTGGTGTGGGTACCAACAGCACTGCCCCTGGTAATGGAGGATTCAGGCGTGGGATTGGTGGCATGGTCGTGCCACCATCAACGTTAATGACTGAACAGGGTTGGATTCCTTATTATGGCAGTCCTATAGTGCAAGTGACTACTTATGGAGGATATTATGTGAATCCAGCCATTTATACGAGGGGGACGACAATGATTAATGGCGGTGTCGTCCTCCCATTAATGCATGATCAAAGAATGATGGATCAGTTTTATGGTATGATTAATCAGCAGAACTTGCATGCTGACCAGGTCAACCGTTGATTGGCTGGAGAGCCTAGTTATAGGGAAGAAGAACGCCTGAATCGTCGATAGATACATAGACCAACGGCAACATGAGCAGCTGAACCTTTCAAAAATATTCGTCGAACTAGATAGCGTTACCAGATTGAAACTAAAGTAGACTCGATTTAGTGCATGTTTAACTGCAGCCAAACATGCCTTTTTTTGTGGTATGCATGCATATGTGTGCTGTGTTCTACAATTTCTGTTCTTTTTCTTTCCTTCTAGTACTGTCAATTCTCAAATATTTTGGTTTTTATTTTGGTGTTGCTGCTAAATACAGATTCACTATCTTTTTCACTTATTTAGTTGCGTAAAGATTCAATTCTATAATCCATAGTATTAGTTTTGATTTGTCTCCTCTATTTGATGGGATTAAAATTAGATTTTCAATAGATTTGATAAAAATTGACTAAACGAGTGGTTAAAAAATTGCGAACTTCAAGATATATGTGATTTTAAGATTTAAATTAAAATCTAAATTTAATCCTAGTGGAAGAAACTAATAGTTATAAAAAGAATTTAATAAATTCACTCCATTCTTGGTATAACAATAGACCTGGCCGATATGACTCATGGGTTAATGTCTTCTGTTGCTTGAATGAAATAAAGCAAGTAGAATAAGAAAAATGAGTTATCATCATGTCCCCATTATATCTAAGATAAAAAGTTTGAGAAAAAAATCTTTGGTGAAAATGGTGCTGCTGTAAGTCAACTATTATTGAGTACATGAAATATTCGACTCACTTGCAGATGAAATGTGCGGTAAAAAAAATTAATACAGTTGTAGATTCAATAAAATATGTGGTTAAAAATGAAGTTTGACTAACTTTTTAGAACACAATTTTTTTTTTCTTTTTCACAAAACCACACATTTTCTTATCATCAAGCTTATTTACTTCCAAAATGGAAATATACCATTTTTTCAAAATAAAATAAATTCTGTTTTTTGGCTATTTAAGTAACCTAGAAATAGAATTGTTTCATTATCACAAGAAAACACTTTTAAGTTTCTTAAAAGAGTGATATTACTTCAATAAGCATTCCCCATTTCTTTGGGGGGAAAATTCCATCAACAAAGAACAAACAGATATATAAACAAATTCAATGTGTACTCAAATATAAACCTTCTTTAATATGAATTCCCTAATTCTCATCCTTGTATTCTACTAATGTAAAAACATTGTCTATCCTAACAAACAAAGGTCCAAAATCGTCCACGTCTGACTTACGTTGGGTTGTCATATAGTATTTGATCCAACGGATCTCGCATTCTTTACCATTAGACTTCATTGCAAACCACCCCGCTCTCCAAACCAATTCTGATCTGTTAATTTTTATTTGTTAAGCTTCAGGTGAATTCTATTCTTCGATTTCCAGTTTTTGTTTTTTCTTCATTGGGTTGTTAGAATTTAGTCAAAACCGTTACTTCAGTATCTTAATTTCGAATTTCAGCGTGATTGCATCGAATCCTATCACTGGCTTTTTTGAGTTGGTGAGCTTGCTTCATCAAAAACTCTTGGATTTTTCTGTTAGTGAACAAATATTCAGGTGTAAAATTTAATTTTTTTAATGACTTGATCCGATTTCACCTTTTTATCTCCAACTCTTTCTGGGCTTAATACTCCAACAATGATCAACGAAGCTCACAATATTCAGTTCAAAACGTTGTAGAGTTCAAATCAACAGTTTTGATTCCGGAATTTTGGGTACCAAACCTCAGCCACTATTTTCTCTCAGGACTGTTCACACCCAAATGCATATATTCTCCGACTAAAGCAAAGCCCTTTAACTTCTTTTCACTTTGAATACTTGTTCGTGCTTCTTCATCAATGGCGGATTCAGATAATGAATCCGGAGGTCACCACAATTCCCAAAACGAAAGCTCTCTTAAAGAGCAAGACAGGTTCCTTCCAATCGCAAATGTGAGCAGAATCATGAAGAAAGCGCTTCCTACCAACGCGAAGATATCAAAGGACGCAAAAGAAACTGTTCAAGAGTGCGTATCCGAATTCATCAGCTTCATCACCGGCGAAGCATCGGATAAGTGCCAAAGGGAAAAGAGAAAGACAATGAACGGCGATGATTTGCTTTGGGCTATGACGACTCTTGGATTCGAGGATTATGTCGAACCATTAAAGATTTACTTGCAGAGATTTCATGATATGGAAGGTGAGAAGGCTGCAATGTCTGGGAAAGGAGGAGAAAAAGAGAGTGGAGGTAACGGCAGTGTTGTGAATATGGAGAATAGTGGGGTTGGTTATTATGATATGATTGGGCGTCAAGGACACGTGTACGGATCCAGTGCTTATAATCGGACAGCCGGTAGTAGTGTTCTTGGATTAGAGAAGGTCGGGTCGGGTCATCAAACGGGCTCTGGGCCGTCTTCTGCTACGGCAAGGCCCATGTAGCTGCTTCACTTGTTACCTTTACTTTTTTGTCATCAACTTCCTAATTAATTTAGATAGACTGGTGATGGGGACATTGGATGTATAGATTAAATGAGTTTGTTTTCGAAATTGACAATAGATGTTTCTGGGCCTCCTTTTTCTTCCTCTTCTATGCTTCTTGCTTTTGGTTAATCCATCCAGTCTATAATGATTTCTCCAAAAAAATAAAAAAGTACGAACTCAATTCAATCAAGGGTCAGTACACGGAAATAGATAAGGAAAAAAAAATAAAATTACGCTACATACTTTCGTGCTGTGTACATAAAAGCTGTGTGCTTGATCCTAACAAGAGAGATAGGGAACAAACTACACAGGAGAGGACCAATATAATTGAGAAAGACAGAATACATTATACAGTAGCTGAAGAAGACGAACAGAAAACTGGGTACCTCGCCCATCAAGTTGAATCTTCTCTATAGCTCATCTGGCCACCATGCTTCGACCAGCAGGCTGCTTTCCATCCTTCTTGGCATCACCTTCCTCCTCATCGTCATCTGACTCGTCAGCTAGTTTAGTGAGCTCCTCTTGGATCATGAGCTTTATTGATGATTTTCTGTGGGTCAGATCAGTACTGAAGCGCTTGGCTGAAATGGTAAGAGGTTTCAACATACATTAAATAGATGTGTAATGGAATTCTAAGCATTGAGAAATATACAATAATAGGTTTGATTTTCAGATTACAATTGCCTATTACAGAGGATCTGATCGAGCAGACCACTTAAAGTGGTAGTAGCATGTCAAAATCTCTTGGAGATCAGATTCCCACAAGCTTATGTGGTGATGCTTCTAGTTCGTGAAATTTAAGATCCATAGAGCATAGTTGTAAAAACATATCCTACCAGATAACTCCAAAGAAAGCAATTTGTCTAGGCCGATTCCCCAACCCAAAACCGAAATGGCAGCAAAAAGAAAGTAATTCTTAATCATTGTAAGACTGCAATATCATGTAAATAATAATTCATTGAAGTGTACCAAGTTGCTTCAGAATATCGGTGAAAGTGGCCTGCAAGGTTAAACAGATGTTTACTGGATATGTCAGTATCAGAATGAAAACAAGATAACTGATAAATGACATGAATAGCAAATAAATGCAGATGCTGATGGAGTAGAACTCCCAGCTTCTATATATATGATGACCACAAACTATTATATGGAAATAAACTCCCAATTTCTATTAAGAAATTACTTCTCATTATTCAAAAGCAGGAAAATTTTCAGGTTCTTTAAAAGACATTTCATTTTATATTATTTTAACTACGCAAAAGCAATGAAACGAGTAAGTTTTAGAAAGATTTGAGATCCTCACCATATTGAAGTCCACCTCTTTGAGAATTTCACGTGTTGCACTCCTGAGTTCATTGTCAGTTGGCTTTAATTTGTCCTCCTTGGGCTTGCCTTTGCCTTTCACAACCTGCTTTCCTTCATTTGAAATAAAATACAAAATGAGCATCAGAAATAGCTTCTCCAATATTCCAATTTGAAACTGATAGGAAGTTAGGAATTCGAGATAGCATTCTGGCTGGTCACCAGAACACTTCAATGACAAATTAGAGAATTTTAGCAAGCAGAAAGTTGATTCAAATTAAGTGAATGAAAATTACAATTCTCACCAGTACTCTCCTTTGATGCAGACTTCTTTAGAGTTGTTGATTTCTCTTCAAGTGCTTCAGCTTTCTTCTTACCAGAAGACTTCTTTGCACTTGCATCATTATTGTATTTTGAGTGACTAGGTGACTTTGCAGGAGCCTTTTTGGGTGGAGGACTGGCATTTTTAGTAGGTGAAACTTTCTTGGTTTTGCCTTTTTCAGTCAACTCCTTTGCTGAAGACTTCGTTGAACTTCACCTCTGCTTTCCTCTGTCCTTAACAGACTCATCTTCAGATTTACTCTCTTTCTCCTGGCTTTCAGCACGTTCGGAAATCTGCTCTTCTGATTTTTCAATAGCACCATCAACATGTTCCTCTTCATGCATTTCCTCTTTCTCTTCTTCTGATTCATCTTCAGATTCAGGTATGCTCTTATTCTATCCAACATCTCTCGATGCACTTCTAGTTCTCTTTTGACTCTGAAAATACACCAATATATAAAGATTGATGACGGGGATAAATTGACCAACTTTATGAACATGCTTTCACGCATTATCTTTGAAAATGTTAGTTTCATTTTTCCAGTTTAATTTGAGCGGCGAAGCTTCCACTATCATCAACAATATGCACATAATTTTCCTTTTTGGTGTAGTGTGTTGCCTCATTTCTTTAAATTTGGAAGTGTGGGGCACACATTAATCAAAAGTCAGATCAATTTCTCAGTCAAATAAACACTAAACTTGAGCATGTCCCCAATAACATCATCCTTGAATAAGTACTAGAAATATGCTGCCATCTATGTAACAAAAAGGGAGCCTATTGGCTTCAGTCTTCCTTTCTTTCTTTCTTTCTTTCTTTCTTTTATTATTATTATTATTATTATTATTTGTAGGAGGGATCAGACTTGGGACCCCAATGATGCTATAATTATTCTCTTCATATTCAACACGTGAAAATTATTTGAATGCTGCACATATAAACCTCCCAAGGATGTATCACACCTAGAGTTTGATCTAAGCATGTCATTGATAAGAGGAAGAATAGCAAGAACGCTTCAGCACAACCAAACCCCACTGCACCCACCAACCAAATGAAAGGCACGAGTAATATGACAACGGCAACAGAACAAACCTACTCAAGACTACATGTATATAGTCTAATATAATATATGAAGTATTATACCGCTAAATGTTTCATGTTTCTAATACTAACGAGAAAGGGTAATACTTCAGCTGATCCTTTTGAAAGTGAACTCCCCGTTGCCGATTCACTTCTTGTTCCATCTCTCTTTCGATTTTTGCCTTTTCTTGACTGGTAAACAAACAGGAGGTAAATGAACATAAACAGGCTAAGTGAAATCAAAAAAGTCACTTATTCCAGTTGACTTAGGTTAAGAGAAAAAAAATTGACGAGAACCTGCTCTTTTTCAGCAAGCAACTCCGTTGCTGTGGCATGAGGATCCATAAAAAACTCAATCAACTTTGCAACAATATCTTCCTGGATGCACAGAAAATGATAAATGTAAGAGAGAACCAAATATCCGATCAATATTCTTGATTTCAGGGTTAATCGGATAGTGGTTTATTTAAAAAGTGCATGCAATAAGTATATCCCAGAACAAGAATGCTAAGACAAAAAAAATAGCAAAAAGTCAAGAATCATTATTTCCCGTTAAGGGAACAGTCAATAGCAAAATGAAAGTGCATATAGAAGTTTCCAGCCCAACGTAAAAAAAAAGAGAGATATCTACAGACCTTTCTAGTATTAGCCTTGGGAATCTGCAAATCAAGAACATCGCAGAATTCCACCAGTTTCTCTTTGACACATTTGTCAAGTTTTTCTTTTACTTTTATCATTTGCTTTTCCTGGCATGAAGCGTATTTTACATGCTTAGAGTTGGGATGATGCCAAGCAACAGCGAAGTAGTGAAAGCACAATCCATCAACAACATAATACATAGTTTACCTCATTATCAGGCCCCACAAACCCAGAAAATTTAGATATGTTGTTCTTGACTTGAGCTGCCTGCATAAAGTCATTGAAATTATAAGTTCAAGTTAACAAACCAAAGCATACGGCTGCTAGAAAACAAATTAAGCAAATTAAGAAATATATTATACTGATTACACAATCATAAAATGATGGAAATAATATCATAAGAATCTGGAAGTTACTAAGATATCATGAAAAAATGGATACATTTCCACATCTTTAACATCCACCTCAAACTCAATATGCTATAATCTATATAGCAATCGAGTTGAGTTCGGAACTAAACGGAAAGCAAATCATCAAATCTTGAAATTGCCAAAAGGATGGTGTATGGAAATGATATTTGCAACTTTTAATGGATGAAATATTCGCAAGTTGAACGTCATTGCCAAAATTCAGATGTACAGACAATCAATTTGAAAACTTCATTGATGAAGTGATAAAAAAAAAAAAAAAAAAAAGGCAAGGTTAAGAAATGATAGATAACAATCATAAAGAACAAAGCCATGAACCGTCCAGTTAAAAATGAAACCTTGAAAACCAGGTCAAGAATCAGTCACTAAGAAAAAACCTCGAGCACAAAAGTTATGCAGCCGAATGACAAGAGAATGAAGAATACAACCAAAAACTCGTCTTGTTGGTTCTACAAAAATCCAAGAAGTTGAGAATTAATAATTCGTTGATTCGTAAAATAACAAACTCCAAAATGTATCATTTTTTATTCGAAACAATTCACAACCAATTCGTCGCATCAAACCTATGTAATGAAGTAAAATGATGCTTTAATAATAATAATAATAATAATCAAACCTATGTAATGAAGTTAAATGATGCTTTAATAACAATTATAAAAAGACGCTAGAAAAGATGCCAATTGGGTTCAATCATAGGCCACGAATTTAACCACGATCTTAAACAATAGAATTGCTTCCAACTACTTATGAGGGCATTTGCTTTTGAAATATCAAAAGCTGATTCTGAGACTAAGAAGTTTTTGAATAATTTATTTGTCTAGAAGAACTTTTAGAGGAAACTGACCTAAAATGGAAGTCTCTACAAGAAGCAAAAGAGAAGTCTTGCCAAACGGCCCTCAAACGACTATATCTTAGGATGGTCATGAAATGCCAATATTCTACCATTCTCCAATAGAAATTCAAAGAACTTTGCAGGAAAGGAAGGTTTACTAAAAAAATACAATGTTTTGATAATCTTCCCAAGGCCCAACTTTGATTCTCAGCTTCTAAGACATAGCTTCTGAGACATGATATGTTCTCGAGGGATAAATGAGGATCTCTTCTTGTAAACAAGTGGTTGAAATTTGACTTTACATTGAAGAAAGGGATTAGGAAATGGAGGAGATAGCACATGCACAACTATAACTCTTCTAGGATATTTCTCACCAACTAATGAGATAGCGCGCTCTTTGGAGATCTCATCACTAGGATCCACATCTAAAATTGGAAGACAATCGTAAATCGTATTATAAGAATCCAAAGATGCTTCAATTGTCGGTTG